ATAGTGCCCCCGCTCTGAGCCGCGCCGGGCGCTTAATCGCGTAGCGGCTCCCCCGGCCTCGCCATCCCTTTCAGAGCTTGCTTTAAATTCGGTTTTTACAGAGCCGAGGCAGCAGGTCTCGCCCTCGCCTGGAGTATGCGGGCTCACTGTGGCTCTGTCGTGCAGCCCGACCCTGACCTCATCCATCCCTTGGACAGGCCCAGCTGGAGGTAGAAGATGCTGTGGCCTCGCAGCTCGCCTTTGGCTTGGGAGGCTCCTGGGGGTGTAGCAACATCTGTTTCTCTCGGCCTTCTACCAAAAATACGCTCAAATCGCTGGGGTTCATTGAGGGTACCACGAGGGCTGGGCGGGGGGCATGCTGAGCTGTGGGCCCAGGGTGGCCTCACGCTTTGGTGGCTGCGGGGCAGAGCTGCCTTGGAGAGCGAAGGGGAGAGGTGGGGAAAGGGACCGTCCTCAGTGGGGAGGAGAGGGCGATCTGAAAGTAGATCTTCTGTCAAGATACCTCAGTATAGCCTCGCCTTTGGCACATGCATCCCTCAGAGCCGATGAATCATCAGATTTTTATTTCAATCTATTGAACCACTTGGTATGATTCTTTTATTTCCACTAACTCATCCTGTCAACACCTTTGTTCAATTGCCTGATGCCTTCCATTAGTGAAGATTCAGAATCTGCCCTGAACCATGGAAGCTATTTCCTGCTCCATGTACTTGTCAGCAGTAATGACTTTCTCAGACAGGAGCATATTTCCATGTATTGATGTTGGAATTTCAATAACATCACGTTTGCTGTTTGAAAGCACCACTGGTTTCCTTGATAAAAATAATCACCTATGATTAGATAACCTTTTCTATTTGCGCCTAAAGCTAATGAACACGCTCCTTTTCGAAGACTGTAGCCACCAGCTCCTGTTGTCCCTGAACACATCTCCTGCGTGAGCCTTTTATGAACCTACTGAGAAGTGCTATGGGTGTCCGTGTCCCTTGGTGTCTGCTTGTAAGGTGCACTGTTTTATCTTCTTGCTCCAGAAAACTAAATGAATTTAAGACTAGGACCCAGCTTAAGCTTTTTCCTTGCCTTTTCAAATGCTTCAGCTTAGGTCTCTGATCATTCTGAGATGTGTTCAAGTTGTGTCAATAATTCTGAAGGATAGGCAACTGTTTTTCAGAGCATGTACTCATGCAGTTTTATAAACTGGTGAGCTGATTTCATGCACTTCGACTCGGATAGCTCCTCATTACCTTTCAGCTCCCACGTGGACCTGGTCAGGTAACACGTGACAAATACAGAAGGTCTCAACTCTTTGACTGAACTTTCTGTTAAGCTTAGTTCTTTGCTTTTTGCAGTTATTACAAATACTCGTTCTTTGGTATCATGCATTTTGGTCAACCCATAGAAATAATGGCTTCAGCTGTATCCTGATGGTGCATGTTAGAACCAGGCATAGGTCCTGATGTTCATACCGAATGAAAAGTTAGGTCAAACGATACGGAAGGGTAACTTCAGCTTACTAAGAAACATTCCTGACGTGAGAAGGAATGAACATCTTTTCTGTGAACAAAACTTAAAAGCATCCTATTCACTTAAAAACTCCCAAACCTTCTGAAATTTGTATCACAAGTGACCTTAACTTTGTCATTCTTTGGAATACTCAACTTTGTAATTTTAATAACATTCTTTTAAGGTCACTGTGTATGACTTGCTACATAAGAAAAAAAGGAAATGGCACAAAACCCCCAAAAATTCTGTCGTGTAGTATTGGAATGATGTAAACAGGTTGTCACCTATGGACTCTACGAGCAGACATCTGCTACTTGTGCTAAACAATTAGGAACTGTAACAAATTCTCCTTATGTGAAAGATCACTTGTAGGGGATGAGACATTTAAAATCCTAGGTTTCACCAACAGTCAGAATAGTTTAAGCTCATGTGTCCAGTCAGTATTGCAGTGATTTCTCATGGGTTACATGTAGTTGGTTCTGCAATCTACAGAAAGGTTTAGCTCGTGCTTAATGTAAAAGCATAGCTGCAAGCTCATCAGTCTTGTGTCACGTGCTGTCTGCTGCAGCTTGTGAGCAACGTTTGGATCAATGATGGTCACACTGCAGGTGTTCCTCTCTTATTTTAGGTGTTTGGGCCACAGTGCTGCCTTTCTGTCCCAGGGCAGAGGCAGTTAGGGCAAACACATTTGCACAAGCTCATTGGAATGTTCCAAAGGAATGGTCATTATTCCCTCTGATTCATATGCTGCACAATACAGTGCATAGTTCACTTCTTTAGACCTGTCTCTGGTTTGCCTTCTGGATTCCCTTAGCCTGCTTGAGTGTATTTTGTAATGGATCTATTTCTTCTTCTATTTGTGTCTTTCATTTCTTTACAGTCTCAGTTTTTTATGGGCTTTAGTATTCATAGACAGGCATGAGCGTGCCAGTGCTTCAGGCATTATTCCTGGAGGTGGTATCACTTCTTTTTTTTTTCTCCCGGTAAGATAGAACCAAAAGCTTTGCTTTAGTTTTTTTCATCTTTACTCCCTTAGGCAGCTCTCAGTACAGCCTTGGTGTTTGCTTCCCTGCCTGTACAGGAATTTTTTGTCTAGAAATTAAGCTCTGTGCTGTCTGCTTCTGTTACTTCGTTCTGCTTTGTTTTCCTGCTAATCACAGTATTTTTCATGCTCTGAGTCTCCTTAGCTTGGCCTTTGCCACAATGTTTCTTGTACCTCATGCTGAGTAATTAGAAAGGACACCAAATGAGTATCCCAAAATGATTTGTAATTAAAACAACTGATTAAAAAGCTGCTGTAACTGCAGCTGGTATTCACATCGGTGCACATCTTGGTGCCCTTCCAGAGTCGTTCCTCCTCCAGCAGGTTGCTCAGGCCCTAATCCTCTAATCTATACCCTCTATAAATTGCCCTCTAAGAGCCATCTGTCAGCTTGCTCCTGACCGGCATGGAGCAAACAAACCTAGCCTTCCTCTGAGGAGGGGCAGCGATCCCAAGGGTAACCCCTTAAACTCCTAGGACAGGGATTTCTGCCTGCTAGAGTTTACCTGAAACTTTTTGACCACAACCTTTTTTTTTTCCTATACCAAAAATACCAGTTAAATGTCTTTAATTGTATTGGTATTAACCTTGATTATATTATCTATATGTATCATAGTGTCTCTCTTCCTTCTTCTAAACTCTTGATCGTTGTTCTGTGTTTCTTTTCCTGTTTTTAGCAGACTTGCATGTACTGCCTGATAATTTTCTACTGTAGAAGATAAAGAAATATATCTTTGTCTGTATTTATTATGCTTCCAAAAGAAAAATGAAAAGGAACCCTTGCAATGAAGTAAGTCAACAAGACTGATTCTTAAGGCATCATCAGTAATAGCTCAACTGTATTATCTCACTAAAAAATGCAGATTTATTACTTTCTTCATTTCGGCTGTGAATACAATAGATTAAAAAAATTGTACTGATCAAACAAGTCTACTACAGTTTGGCACTGGAGCTGATAAAATGGCTATCTTCAAATATGGAACACGAATGAAACTACAGTAATCAAATTAATGATTTATATTATTCATTTGGCTTTTTTCCATTCCTGTCAGTGGAAGACTGGCTTGACTACAGAATGTTTGTACTTTGAAAAGATCTGCAGTAGCAAAGTAATACTGATAAAAAATATGCAAAAAGAATACGGTGAGAGTAATAGATACAGAACTTCTGAAGGAAAATAACTTGAAAGAAGTCTTGCTTCTAATATTATTGAGCCGAAACAATTGTACTGAACTGCGTTCATCAATAGATTCTATTTGAACACTGGCTAAACACATTAGAACCTGCACTTTTGTTCATCCATAGCATCAAGTTGCTCACCTCTACATTGGAATTAAACTAGACTATTTTTTACTGTTATTTACACAGTGAGATTATAGACATTTTTTACAGTGCCTTTTGAGGTCAGGATAGAACACAGGCTTGAAACCTACAATGAAGTTCAGTTGGCATTTGTTCTTAATGAATTAACCATCTACCTTGTCATCAGATCTGTTCTGTCATTAATGACGCAAATATCACCAGGCACGGAGTTTCCATTATGTTGAATTGTGTAACAATCCGGTACTCCATCTTCAGAAGACATGAGGTTACAGACTGTTTCCACAGCTTATCTTGTTGGTAAAATAAGTAAAATATGAGAAAACAAGATACGATAAAACAGTGGCAGCTTGTTTACATTGTTTGTTAGGTATAATGGCAGTCATGAAATATGAAAGCACATCACATTTGGTCTCAGTGCATCAATATTTTTCTCAAAAGAAAACAGTGCTGAAAACTTTTGTCAAAACATTCTCATTAAAATAACAAAATATGTGAAAAGTATAGCTGTAACAAAATCTTTTTAAAATTACCCTCTCCATTGTATTTTTCCATTAATATTTCAGAAGGGTTTATTCTCAGATAGAAAATTCATGGGCTTCTTAGTCAGGAACAAGGTAAGAATCTTGAACTAAATTGCCCTAAAGAAAGCTAAGTTTATAACCATAGTTTTACTCTTGATTTCAAGCAGTGGATGTAACACATCATGTCTTAGAATCATTAAGAAGTTATCATTTTTATTCCACTACTAGTTCCGACATCTCTATGATAAATCTGTCATGTGTCCCAAACACACCAAGCACCTGAGTGTCTCAGGAAAGTCCTTCCTCCCAGCTGCGAGTGGGCTGACGTGGTCTTAGCTCTGCTGGTTAAGTCAACTCAAGTAAAGGGCCATGTTGCTGATGGACTAATTTCAGCTCCCATACCATTGCTTAAGGCTATTGTGTGTATTCTTAGACTACTCTACAGCCTGTAGACATCTAAATGCGTCCTTTTGTCTTCCAGGTGATTTTCTTCGTTCGCAAGCAAGGGGGTTTTGACTCCAGTGGAGGACTACTTATCAGCTGTATGACAAAACAAACACAAAAGTTTTGAAAATTAAAGGCTGGATGCACAGCAGCATCACCTGAAAAAATACTACATTTAATATTATGAAAATTGTATTAGAAATAAGATATACAGTGAGCACTGAGTCAACTTTAAAAAAGGTCACTCATACACCAAGTACAATAACATTGATTAACATTAAATATTTGAACAGTGACTAAAACTGAATCCAGTAAATTGCCAGGAAAGGTTATGTTGATCACTGTGTGATGAGTAGTGAAATGTTATTAGAACTGACGAGTGGGAAACTGCACTCAAGAAGAAAAATTTAAGATAGATAAATCCAAAAATAGGCCATTAAGAAACGTAAAGAAACATTCTCAACAGAAGGAATGATTTACTTTAAAAAAAAAAATTTAAATATGTATGATTATTTCTGTTTTTCTAGGAGTGATGGGGTAGAGTAGATCAAAACAGCCCAAAAAATGCGTAGATAAAAGCTCACTTGTACTTTTTAGAGTAGCTGCTAGGCTGTGAACAAAAGTGGCAGTGGATCAGCAAACCTTAATAATTTCCCTGACTACTCAAACTCTGTAAAGCAGATTGTTTGGTTCCCTCTTCAGCTTCATTTAGCAGGGTACTGTGAAAGCTGCTACGGATCAGGTGGAAAGTACTCATGCTGAAGTAAGCATGGAGTATCCTTCAACATACTATAAATTCTAAGTCCCTGCTCTTTGAAATTAAAAGTTCCTATTTCTTTGAGCGTATTTACTGGAAGCTGTTTCCAAGTAGAAATGCCAGAATGACTTCATAAACTTAAATCATGGTGCTTGGGAGCCAGATTGTGCTATGATTTATAAAAATGCAATCTTGTTGAAATCTCCTTCTGTGCAGGAGGTCAGTAAAAAGCCTTTTCACCATTACAGTGCTGGCACTCAGCGCAAGGTGGAATTTTACTTAAAAAATTGAATGAGCTATTACTAAGCAGAAAGTCTGGATGAAACCAAGTAACACATTCAGCA